TATCAGACATTTATAGAACACTGAATATCCATACGTTTATGAAAAATGAACCTCATTCTAGGTCATACATAACGCAAATTTAAAAGAATCAAGCCAAGTTCTTTTACCACCTACCGTTAAAAAAACAATATAAAAAAGATACCAATCCCATTTCCCAACAATTGAAAGTGAATAACAAACTTTCAAATACCTCATTGATAAAAAAACAACATATTATAATAAAATTTAAAACATTTAAAATGTTTAAAATATGGCATATCAAAATTGCAGGTTGTGGTAACCATCAGACACTCCTCACCATCAGACAAAGTGCCCGCCATCGCTGGTGCCACAGTTTTTAAAAAGTTGGTTGTGGTTAAAGGAAAACTTAGAGCCTGAAGAGCTTACATTAGGAACAAAACAAGGTTGAAAATTCATGAACTAAGCATTCAGAACTCAAAAGTAACGTAAGAACAATAGGAGAAACCCAAAGCAAAAAGGAAATAATAAAGATGAGAACAGAATTTAACTAAATGGAATAACATTGTATCGTAGAAACAATTAACAAGGCCAAAAGTTGGCTCATTGAAAAGATGAATATAATTAGCAAATTTGGGGAGCAATTAAAAACAAATGCTGGCAGCAAAAATAATTAATATAGGATGAAAAAGAGGAATATAACAAAAATTAAAAAGGAGAGATTCAAAGGACGCACGAAAATGCTAGGAATTGCTTTATATCAACAAGTTAAAAAACCCAAGCAAAATAGAAAAATATACAAAGTACTTCTAGAAAAATATATAAAGGATGACTAAGAAGTAATAGAAACTCCAAATGGTCCTATAGCCTTTAAAAGCACTGAATTAGTTTAAAATCTATCTCCTCCTCCCACATAATTTCAAAACCAGGCCCAGATGGCTCTACAAATGCTATAACATGTTCGAGGAAGAGATAAAACTGTATTATCCAAACTTCTCTAAAAATAGGAAGAGAGATACTGTCGCCAGCTCACTTAATGAAACTTTATACCCTTCTCCTGTCCCCACATCAGGACAAGGACAATGCGAGAAAGGACGATTACTGGCCTTACACTGATGAGCATTCTCTTCATAGCGAGTCCCCATCAGGCAATTTGAAGCCAGCGATGTATGGGAAACAGTCATCATGACTGCATTCGGTACTTGAAGCTGTTGTAACAGAAAGACCCTTTCACACAGTGGCTTATTTCTATTTTATTTTTTATTGATTTCAGAAAGGAAGGGAGAGGGAGAGAGAGAGAGAAACATCAATGATGAGAGAGAATCATCCGTTGGCTGCCTCCTGCACGCCCCACCCTGGGGATTGAGCCCAGCAACCCGGGCATGTGCCCCGACCGGGAATCAAACTGTGACCTCCTGGTTCCTAGGTCGATGCTCAACCACTGAGCCACGCCGGCCTGGCCACAGTGGCTTCAAGACAAAGTGTGTTTCTCTCCTCCGTCCAGAGGGGAGTGGTCCTGACCTGGCATCCCCCACGCATCAGGATTTAGCCAGCATTTCTGTTTCCCAGCCAGCGGGGCTCAGGGACAAAGACACACAGCACAGGCTCAGCCTTCACGGGGATGGTGACTCAGGCGCTGCGCACCCCTCCCTTTATGCCCCCCCATCCCCAGACTTAATCATGGGGCTGCACCTCGCTGCAAGGAGGACTGAGAGATGTGCTCTTCAGTGGCCGAGAGCCGGCTGCGAGCCCTGGGGCTCTGCTATTAGAAGGAGACGCGGAGGATGACTGCGGGGACGGTCAGCAGCATCCCCTGGAGTGGCTAAGTCAGGTCTCTGCAGGAAGGACGGGCCACTGCACGTTAGAGAACGGATTGGCGTTATTCACAACGTCTCCATAGATACAGGGGAAGAAACAAACATGCAATAAGATCAAACACTCAAGATCAAAACAAAACAAACTGTCGTGAGTAAGACTAGCAGGAGCCACCTCTAACTGAGCAGAATGTCTGCCAAGGCCACACCAGGTTCAGTACCGACACCCAGACCCACTCCTCACCATCAGACAAAGTGCCCGCCGTCGCTGGTGCCACTCAATGCGGCTGCGGAGGCTCCAGACGACCCAGGGAACTGACGCTATAAAAATTGGGAAGGAAGAAATAAAACCGCCACTCGTTACAAGTGAGAAGACTGTCGACAAAGACAGTCCCGGGCTTGTCAGTAGCAAAAGCTCCCGATAAGCATTTCCACATCTGTAAGAGTTTCCCTATAATAGGAATGGCCACCTAGGTCAGTCCATGATGCAAAATTTGACATTTTTCCCGCGTGTAAGCAACTGGCAGAAAATGCAGTTTTAAAAAGTGCCCGTTACCATCCCCCTGAATGTGACTCCGCATCAAGGAATCATCTTATGAAAACGATGTGCGTGACCTTCCTGGGGGGGAGGGACAGAACTTGACTGAAAGACATAAAGAGGAAATGGAACGTGTCCGCGGGTGGGAGGGATGAGTGTACAGAGATGTCCACTCTCGCCAACTCCCCTAATTGAACAGAATTCTAACGAGACGCCTGGCGTAGCTTTTCTCGGAACTTGGTGAGCTTATTCTAAAACAGTGGTTCTCAACCTTCCTAAGGCCGCGACCCTTTAAACAGTTCCTCATGTTGTGGTGACCCCCAACCATAAAATAATTTTCGTTGCTACTTCATCACTGTAATTTTGCTACTGTTGTGAATCATCATGTAAATATCTGATAGGCAGGATCTATTTTCATTGTGACAAATTGAACATAATTAAAGCATAGTGATGAATCACAAAAACAATATGTAATTATATGTGTTTTCTGATGGTCTTAGGTGACCCCAGTGCAAGGGTCGTTCGACCCCCAAAGGGGTCGTGACCCACAGGTTGAGAACCGCTGTTCTAAAACGTATGTGGGAGAGCAGATGGTCAGCGAAAAGGAACGATTTTGAGAAAGTAGAAGAGAGAGGCCCAGCCCTGCGGGGTAGGAGGGCCTGACACAGAATTTCGGTAACCAAGGCCGCGCTGTGCTGGCTGCGGGGCGGGCAGATAGGCCGAGAGGCAGAGAAGCTAGGAAGAGGCGCGCACACATGGATGGGTTGCCTCCTGCAGGAGCCCTGACCAGGGCCCGGACCAGAGAGGAGCCTGCAACCGAGGTACGTGTCCTTGACCAGAATCAAACCGGGTGAGGATTAAAAAAAATAAAACAAACAAAAAACCCGGGAAATTCACATTAGTTTTAGTACCGTACTGAGAAGTAAATTTTTATTTGTTTTGGATTTTACTACTTTTCCCACTAGGATTTTGTTTGTTTGTTTGTTTGTTTTTTCTGTTCCAGGATTTAACCCGGGATAGCACACTGCATTTAGTACACTGTTATCCTTTTTAAGGTTAATGCGGAGGTTGCCCTAGAGCAGTGGTTGGGAAAAGAATGTGAGTATGGGGGAGGACCCAGAATAAAGCCGTCAGGTGGCCTGGGAGGACGGAGCCCGGTTGGGGTTGGGGTGGGGGTGGGGGGGCTGGCACTGGGCCTTCCTGACCTGGGCTGGGTGCCCTGCAGTGCTTCCTGTGGGCACCGCCTCAGCTCAGCCTGTGCAGCAGAGCAAAGACCTAGAAGTGCACTGGCTGTTTTTAAAAAATATTCGAATTGATTTTTAGAGACAGAGGAGGAGAGAGGGACAGAGAGAGAAACATCGATGTGAGAGCAGAACATCCGTTGTCTGCCTCCTGCACGCCCCCTACTGGCGATGGAGCCTGCAACGGGGCCTGCGCCCTGACAATTCCCTGCACGGACATCGCCCAACCAGCTGAGGGCTGTGCCAAGGCCACTGGCTGGTTTGATAACTGACTGGCCAAGTGTAGGAGCAGGCCCTGGGGCGCCGCATTTCCTTCTGCAAAAGCCCTTTGTGCCAGCCCCTCGGCTTGTGTGGACAGTTCTGGAAGTTTCCGCCTGGGTGCCTGGGGGAGTCCTGGGCTCTGTCCCCAGGGTGGGCAGTGGGAGGGACGCGGGCACCCTGAGCTCCATACTCCTGCGGGTTCCCGGTTTGCCCCAGTGGGTCCAGGCGGGTGACAGGCGGCTCTGCCCATGTCCTCCCACCCCTGGTCCCTGGAGCCACGGCAGCGAGTGGGAAGGACCAGGTGAACGTGGAACCCGCTGGGGAGACTCAGTGCTGCTCAGACCCGAGTCTGCCGAGCTCAGGGGGCCACTCCCCATCTGCCTGCTGCTGAACTCGGGCCCTGAGTCCCCCGGCAGCAGCCGCGGTGCCGGGAGGGTGTGGAGTCCCCTGACTTCTCAGACCCTCTGCTTCTGCATCTTTAAAATTGGCCACGGATCTGACTTAGCGCCAAGGTGCCTGGCCCACAGGCTGCCTCCAGCACAGGGCATGGCCTGTCACTTCCCTTCTATTTCCCCTTCTCCGTGAGCTCACCCCACCTCCCTTCCTGCCTCATCACCCCCCCGCATCTCCCATCCTTCCCTGATCAGGGGTTCCCACGCTGGCCTCTCTTTGCGGGGAGCCTCAGGCACCCCCCTCCCCAGAGCGCCCTCTCTCCCTCACCACCTTTCAAGGGCTGGTTTGAACGCCACCTCCAGGCCTCCCGCTCTCCCTCTGTGGCATGCTGAGGTCTCCTCCCGGTAGGTCCCCTGTGGCCCCATCCCTTCCGGCCTCGATGGACAACCGTGATGAGGTCCTATCTTCCCCAGGATCCGGCCGCCTGGCCTCACCACTACCTGATACTGAGCCTGGCCCACAGCAGATGCTCATTCAGTGCTTATTGCTTAGGTTGAGTGGCACTAAATTCTTGGAAACCTCAAGTTCTTGGAGAACAGCTCTGGCCTTGCCCGTGGAAGTGAGTCCCCAGCTGAGAGGGTCCCTAGGTCTCCAGCGAGTGCCCCAGAGCAGGGATGGCCGCGGGGGTGGCCAGGGCCCAGCCCAGCACCTGAGCGCCCCCCCACCCCCAGCTGTTCCTCCAGACCGCACGCTCCGCCTTCTGCAAACGGCTGGGAGGGCAGCTTAGGCAAGTTCCCCTTCCGCTTCCTCCTGCCTCGGTCCCGCTGCCGCTGCTGCTGCTGCTGCCCAGGGTGCCTACCAGGCTCTCCACTCCCTGGTGCCGAAGACGCTCCATCGTCACCGCCGCCCCCAGGTCCCGACGCGATGCAGGCCATCAAATGTGTGGTGGTGGGAGATGGGTAGGTACCTGGGTGACCTTCCTCCCAGCCCCCATTGGGGAGCCCTGAGACCCTGAGACCCTCCTGCACAGGTGTCCCCAGGAAGCCCCCTTACATGTGGGAGCCCCGGAGGCAGCCAGGAGGACCAGCTCCTTCTCCCCGGAGCCAGAGGGAGCCCCTGGGGTGGGGTGAGGACACCTCACTCTCTCCGTCCACCTCACCCCGGGAGCCTCCTGGGTGGAGGGCATAGGACTGCGGGTGGCGGTGCCTGGGCCCCTCGCCTGTACCGCGGGGGCTGGGGCAGGCCTCCCATGGGACCTCTGTCTTCAGCTCAGTGGATGCAGGTGGAGGGTGGGGAGCCGAAAGCTGGCCCTTGTTCCCAGGCTGATCTGGGCTCTCGTCCCTGGCTAATGCTGCTGTGTGGCCTTGGGTAAGTCACAGGGCCTCTCTGAACCTCGGCTTGACCGTCTGGGATCTCCCACCAGAATTGGGGGGTTCACCTCAGGCATTTTGAGGGGCTGTCCTGCACATAGTATGTGCTCAGTAAACGCCACCTCCTCCCTCCCCCGCAGCAGCCCCGTTGGGAGGATGTGGGGGGATGTGGGTGAGAAGCAGAAGGAGGGACATGAGAAACGATCAGGGGAGGAGGGGGGCAGAAGAGATGTGATTGCGGGGCTCAGTTTGGGACAGGCTGGGCTGAGGTGCCTTCTGGGTTGTCATGCCCTCGGTGGGCCTCAGTTTCCTGAGCTGTGAGGTGACAGGTCCAAATGCCTCCTAGCAACAGTGCTCAGGGTCCAGCCACTGGTTCGTCCTGGTTCTCCATAGGCCCAGCCCAGCACGTAACAGCTGGGCAGGCTTCTTGTCCGACTCTCCCATTCCACAGATGGGCAGCCTGAGGCCCCGAGAGACTCGGATCTTTCCCGGCCTGGGTTCCTGGGGCCCCCGCTTACTCTGGCTCTGATGGGCCGAGGGGGCGGGCCAACTGATCAGGCTGCCCTCAGCTGATTCTGAGGCACCGCTCAGCTCGCCGTTATCGTCCTGCCTGCCCACTTCTGCTTTGTATCTGATCTGAGGAGGTCAGGGCGGAAGCCAGGGCAACGTTCCAGTCATTCAAAGTTACCTTGCTGGCAGGCCCTGGGGGCAGGGGTTGGGGAGGGGGGACAGGCAGCCAGCTCCTCAGAACAGGAAGTGACGAAACAGTGCAGTGGAGGCAGGGGGGACAGCCCGGCCTGCCCCTTGGGCTTCCACCTGTGTCCCCTCCCAGCCCAGCAGGCCCTGGGAAGACAGCTTGACTCAAGGGCCAGCACTATTTGCTTAGCACTTTCTATGTGTCGGGCCCTGGGCTCAGTCACACCCTCACCAACCCTGATATTAGGCCCATTGACCAGGTGGGAGAACTGAAGCTCAAAGAAATTAAGTAATTTTTTCAAGACCTTGCGGGATGAGAACCCGGGTCTCTCTGACTCCAAAACTCTGAGCTCTGAGCTGCTGTGCTCGCTGATGAGGCAGGATGGGGGGGGGGGGG